GTGTGTGTGTGTGTGTGTGTGTGTGTGTGTGTGTGTGTGTGTGTGTGGGCATGCGTGAGTGAGTGTACTTAAGAGACACAGGTCCGCGTACCTTTACAACAATAATGTTCTCAATAACATTCAAGTATAAGATCCAACTTGAATTAGTCTTTTTACATTATTTAAAGCAACGCAAATTTTAGATGCTGCTTAAATTGCATTGTTTCCTATATATGATCACAGGTTGAACGTTTAGCATGCCGTCCTTACGAGTGGCTGTGATTGGAGCCGGGCCGTCAGGGTTGATTGCTGCCCGCATGCTTGCCTCACGACCGCAAGATTTCGACTTCGAGGTTTACGAACGTGGAGATAACATCGGTGAGGTTTCTTGCTTAAAATACTCTTTGCAGATCATAGTGGGACATCCTTACATACAAACATGCCTCGTCAAAGGTTCTCCTGTTACGTTTGTCGTTCTTATGAGAAGAACATTAGAGTAATTGGTAGAATAAAATATGTACGATAGAATGTAGGATCTTGTTATTAATACGCTTGTTTGTTTCGTTCCGTTAGGAGGCACATGGTTGTACTCAGAGAAGACAGGCTTGGCGGAAAATGGCTACCCAGTACACTCAAGTATCTACAAGAACCTTGTCACCAACCTACCTACGCAGGCGATGGAGTTCCCTGACTTTCCCTTCCCTTCTGATCTAAAAGGAAAATTCCTTCCCTGGAAAAAGGTTAGTATTGTAGGTTTCGTGATAATAACATTGGCTGATATAATGAGTAGAAGGTTTTAATGTTTAAACACGAATTATGATCATTTAAAGTACCACGACACATATTTACAGTTAACGAAATTTACTCAGTGGGTTTGAAATATAGTCCTCGATGTTTTGCGCAGGTGCAAGACTACCTATTTGCCTATGCCGACCACTTCAACCTTCGAAAAGATATCCAACTGAATACAGATGTAACGTCTGTAAAACGTATCACCCCAAAGCCTGTCCCATCAGGAGATGCCCACAAATCTCCCAACAGACCACAGTGGTTGGTGCGCACGACTGCCCTTCAGGGAGGAGGCAGCAAGGAGAAGGTGTTTGATGCTGTATTAGTCTGCTCTGGACACGGTAGTGTCCCCCACTACCCAGACATTCCTGGTAAGGAGAGCTTTAGCGGGGTACAGCTGCACAGCCATGATTACCGCCATCCAGAACTCTATACAGGTGCGCTGCTTCTACTGCTACAGGAATGCGCTTATTTTGATATGTTGGATTACGAGAATATTTATATTTCTATAGCAAATCCACTTTC